AAGACACAGATCCCCGGTATAGCCTTTAACAGACTGTAGGGGCAAGTGCTGTTAGCGAGCACCTATGAAGGCCGGTAACGGTACACGAGGGGGTGGGTAGCCAGCACCATGCCCGACCGCCTTTGTCTCCCCAGTGGTGATGTTTACACACCGCACCACGTACTCAATTGAGGCTGAGTCGATCTAGAGGAGACCCAGTACCGTCATTGGCATTGACCATGAACGGGAATCGAACTCAGGTCGCCGGGTTCCGAGCACAGCGCACTAACCGGTTCTTTGCGCACTGCGCCAAGAACCCTTCCACCCGAGTTCGATTCCCCAAACATCGGTGACGAAAATCTGCACCGTTCCTGGGCCTCCCCTAGGTTCACTCAGCCTTAAGTGAGTACTGTACCTGGCGCGGTGTTTGTAACCGTTAGAAATGGGGGAGACAAAGGCGGCCGGGTGTGTTCCTTGTCAGCCTTAATAGGTGCTCGCCAACAGCACTGGCCCCAGGGGTATGTGTGTGCATGTGTGAGTACAGTGAATTTACACTCTCATATCAGTACCTTGGCTTGCCTTGGAAAGATACGGAAAGAGGAGTGCATGGATTACAGGACAGACGGGGGTTAAAGACATCGTATTGGCTGTCAAGACAACTGCACTTGGGCTGGACACATCGCTTGAAGGGTTGATGGTCGGATGGTCGAGACTGGTGATGGAATGGATATTGAGAAACGCAGACTCGCACGGAGACCCACAGACTCGCACGGAGACCCACAGACTCGCATAGAGCCCCACAGATATACAGAAATATAGACTCACATAGAGACCAATAGACTAGCACAGAGACCCACAGACTCACCACCGACCCATACACTAATAGAAATCCACAGATATACAGAAACGTAGACTCACGTGGAGACACATACTGACACAGGCCAATTCCATACAGAAACTCACATTCGCACAGAGACCTATAGCTTATGCCGTAGAAGTCACAAATAGAGACCGACAGAGACCCACATAGGGAGAATATTATTGTGTTATTTTATTTTATCAATTTATTATTTTATTCTCATTCTACGTGACTTTACCGAAAGAACCAAAGAAGATGAATCATTGCAGTCACGAAAGCTTTAAATCGAAACCCACATAGGGACTCTGTGGGTCTCTGTGGCTGCGCGTCCGACACCCGGATTGGAGCCCAGCATCTCGGCGGTGCCGGCTCGGTGCCTCTGATCCATGAGCCACTGGGTCGCCCATAGGTTACAGAATTATTCAAAATCTCCTCGCCTGTTTAAACAGCACGGTACAGGCTTACACAGCTATGGCTGGCCAACACCGAGACCGTTGCTTTGCAAGCGCAGTGAGCGAGCATCGCGTGAAGGCCGGCACGGCACACGAGGGGGTGGGTGGTTAGCACCACGCCCGGCCGCCTTTGTCTCCAAAGTGCTAATGTTTACACAACGCGCCGGGTAGTCATTTAAGGTAGAGTCGACCTAAGGGAGGGGCAGGATCGGTTCAAATCCTCGCCGCTGTTATTGGGAAACAAAACTCTGGCCGAAGGGGTCGTGGCGCAGTGCTCTAACCACTGAGCCACCGCTTCCCCTCGTGGCGCCCATAGCCACCACAGTGCCCCATGGGGGGCCTCTGGACGGGTGCGAGGGGGCTGGTAACCCGTCCACCTTCAATTTAATTACCAGCAAACTACGTGGAAAAAATTCTACACACCCACACACGCACGCACGCGCGCGCATCACACACACACACACACGCGTGTGTGTGTGTGACGCTCACACCTGGACCAAAGGTGACGGAAACACAATGGGTCGGCGTATCCGACGTCTCCTCCCCGTTACGTTATCGATCGGCAAACATTTACCTGTACCGAGACCGAACCGCGCCCCCACCCCCCTGGAATTGAGCGTCACGGAGAGGCCAGGGTTGGTGGATCCCTCAGAGATGGCGTCGTCGTCGTAAAACAAAACAAAAATCCGTGCTTCGTTTTCGTTCAACTGCAGCTTGGAGAATTTCAAATGTCGGTTTGAATTCATGCGGTGGTAAAACACTGAAAACTAAAATAAATAATTAGTTTTTAAATTTCTATTTTGCCAGCTAAGGCCCACTAAGCTGTAGAGCTCTTTTTCAGGAGTGACCTGGGCACAAATGGTAGCCCAACGAAGTGGCTTACCACGTGGAAATTCATAGCAGCCAAATACTCTAAAACGCACGTTTCTAAATGCGGAGGGAAAAAAACCGGAGAAAAATCCACGCGGCCACGGGTGAGAGAGAGAGAGAGACACCGCAAACTCCAAATATACAGCAGGCGTCAGGGTCGGAATCAGACCGACGACCTCCTGCATACCAGGCGAGGTAGTTAACATCTCATGGCCACCACGGCGCTCACTGTGACTCTCATGTGGCAGAGCAAACCGGCGAAAATCGCTGCCCTGTGTGTGTGTGGGCTAGAGGACGCTCACAGCAGAAGGAGGGATCTGAGAGGCGGTAGCTCATTCCCTTGGGCCGTAATCACCGGAGCCTGGCACAGGCGATCGCCGAGTCAACACCCGTTGCGTGACATCGGTGGCGGCGGAGCATGAATGTCACCGCCGCCCAACCCGCCCACCCCCCCCACCGCGTTATCGCAACTCGAGTTGGGCCCCCCCCCCCCCCCATAAAAGTCACGGTCACCCAGCGAGCGAGCGTCAAACCCCTCTCCGCTCTCGCGGGAAGCACGGTTGGCTACGTGCGGTGCGACAGAAGTTCAACGCACGTACGTATGGAGTACAGCAAACGTGACGGAACTCGGTTCAACGCGTTTGTCCGTTAACACCGCTCCCCTGTCCTTGTGCGCGATGGTAGCAGCGGCAGCGATGATGATGTTATTGTCGTTCAGGAGCTTGAGACCAATGTCGAGTTCTGCTGCTGCTGCTGCTGCTGCTCGCCACGACGAGAGGGCTTCTTCAGCAGAGAGAGAGTTCGTGTCGTGTCGCTGTTCCTCCTCCTCCTCCGTGGGTTCACGACGCGGTCCGAAGCTAGCGTGGCCACAATCGCACGACTGTGGCTCGTGTCTTCTACGTATCTACCGGGGCCTCCATCCTTTTGTGTCTCGAGGATTCTCCAAGTACCTCTTTGGGTCTTAATGGGTTTACTTTCGTGGTCCATAGTTTCACCACAGCCACGCTGCTTTGGCTTGCCGTCAGTGTCTCTCTGTGCGTCTCTGTGTGTCTCTGTGGGTTTACTGTAAGGTCCATAGTCAAGGTTGCATGGCCACAATCGTACGACTGTGGCTCGTGTCTTCTACGTGTCTACCGGGGCCTCCATCTTTTTGTGTCTCGAGGATTCTCCAAGTACCTCTTTGGGTCTTAATGGGTTTACTTCGTGGTCCATAGTTTCACCACAGCCACGCTTGTGTGGCTTGCCGTCAGTGTCTCTCTGTGCGTCTTTGTGCGTCTCTGTGGGTTTACTGTAAGGTCCATAGTCAAGGTTGCATGGCCACAATCGCACGACTGTGGCTCGTGTCTTCTACGTGTCTACCGGGGCCTCCATCCTTTTGTGTCTCGAGGATTCTCCAAGTGCCTCTTTGGGTCTTAATGGGTTTACTTCGTGGTCCATAGTTTCACCACAGCCACGCTTGTGTGGCTTGCCGTCAGTGTCTCTCTGTGCGTCTCTGTGCGTCTCTGTGGGTTTACTGTAAGGTCCATAGTCAAGGTTGCATGGCCACAATCGTACGACTGTGGATTGTGTCGTTAATATTCCGTTCATGACGGAGATGTGCGCAATCTGTCTATCATTAACACTGTGTGTGGCTTTGGGAAAAGGAAGACAAATATAAATATTTATAATACGTGACGTATCGGGCGACAGGCCTTCCTCATAGCAAACCAAATAATTTCGCATGACAATGCGGATAGGTTCACCAGCGGCCAGTCCAGGTTATGTTTCTCTGCCCGACTCACTTAATCGGTGCTCACGATCGGCACTTTCCGCAACAGCCTGCATAGCTACACTGGTTGCTATGGTGGCCAGGAGATGTTAATTACCTCGCCGGGTATACAGGAGCTCGTGGCTTCGATCCTGACCCTGACGCCTGCTGTATATTTGGAGTTTGCTGTGTCTCCCCCGCCTGTGGTCACGTGGATTTTTCTCCGGGTCCTACGGTTATTCCCTCCACATTTGTAATCAACGTGCGTTTAGAGTATTTAACACGTAGTCTTTCGCGAACAATATTATTCATTGTAAAGGTTGTTGGGTTAGATCGCGTTATTTATAATTGTGTCGTAACCCTCCACCACCCGACACGGCCACACAGTAACAAATGTGTCACGTTTACAAAGGACAAATAGTTCACTACTGAACGATGACGTCACCCTGCTGCTGCTCTATTTAAGACCGGGAGCAAGAGGTGAGCCTCGCCATTCTGGCAAATTGCCCGATGAAGCTGGATGTAATTACCAGCGAAACGTCGTACCCAAATTTTTTTATTATGTTAATTCACTCTTCAACACACCGGTGGGCAAAAGTAGTGCACTATTTGTCCTTTGTAAATGTGACACATGTTTTACTGTTTGGCCGTGTCGGGTGGTGGAGGGTTACGACACATTTATAAATAACGCGATCTAACCCAAAAACCTTATGTTTAGACTATTTGGCTGCCATAAATGTCCACGTGACAAGCCATCTCGTTGAGCTCTCACTTGTGGCCAGGTCGCTTCTGAAAAAAGGCCGTATAGCTCAGTGGGCCTTACCTGGTAAAATAAAACGTTTAGTTTAGGGTGACCTTTGTGGGTGCGCGACGCTAGCGGCAAGATAGATCTCCCGCTGGCGCACGAGCGGGGTGGATTGTAGCGTCGCTGCATCGCTTGCAGGGCCGCGCGAGAGATGATGGCTTGGCGAGGTCCCCATCCAGCAGTGGAGAGATCATGGCTTATGGACGACGATGACGACCCGTGTATTCGTGTGCACCCCCCCCCCCTGCGCCTGCCTCCCCCCCCACCTCCTCACCATTTTCGTCGCAGCATCTTCATCTGGTGTCCTCGTTCCACTCGCGACCACAAGTGCTGCCTCACTTTGGGGGAGCAGCCGATTGCTGATTGGCTGCAATCACACTCAAGGTACCCCCCCCCCACCCCAACTTTCCACACGCACTTTTCGGACTAGCTGTGCCCCAACAACTGATTAGAGTGATTGCATCTGTAATTGCCGAGGAAACCATTCGCAACAGACTAGCAGTCTGTCCCTCCAAGCAGCCAGGCAGCCAGCAAAACTTTTTTTTCCAACGTAGTTTGAAACATGAATGCATGTCCTCAGTTGTGTCTTTGTCCCACTGTTACCTGTTGGGATGGTCACGGTTTCTTAACTCCGAAAGCCGGGCGGTTCTCAACAATAAAAATATTGGCCACACGCAGTTCCTTTGAGCTGGTGGTCTCGACAAGGCCTGAGAGCTTTTGTACGATCCGTAATTAGGCTCCTTCAGCCGATGTTTACGGTTCATCGTGAACACACAAACTCAAAACGTCCGTCGGGAAGTTTTTTTGTTTAAAATTACATTGGTCATCATGACAGTAATTTTTTAAATGTCGTTCTCATCTAGTCCCATGGTGCATACAAGTTCCGTCCACTCTCGACTGGGCTCTCAATTCACGTGCTATGCAGAAGGCCCACTGCCCGAAACGTCCATTATATACGTTTCCATTTAAGCCCACAACAACAACAAACAACAACCGCCCTTGAAGACCACACAGGGTTATTGACAAAGGTGTTGCGTTTTTTCTCTCCGTTATTTGTGTTTGTCAGTCATGTCGTAGGTAATGTCATAAGACTTGTCATAAGTAAAATAGTAAGTAATGTCGTAAGTAATATAAGAGATGTCGTAAGTAATGTCGTAAGTAATATAAGTGATGTCGTAAGTAATGTCGTAAGAAATATAGGTCATGTCATAAGTAACGAGATGAGGACGTTCGCATTTGGAATGATCACCGACCAAGTAGAAATCTGCGGAAGCTCGTCCACCTCCCTCTCACTGGACCCTTGACCTCTCCCCCCCACACCCCCTTACTCCCGCGTGTAACCCACAGGGACAGTGAGCCACGGAGCCTCTCCCTACCCCCAGCCCCCCCCCCCCACCACCACAAAAAACTGGGGGGCTCAGCGACCACTCGAGTGAAGCAGCTAATGAGCGAATGAGTGAATGAGACACTTCATGATTGGTCAATTGAATTGTCACGCGAGTGACTGATGGAGTGAATGAACGAGTGATTGAGGGAACGAGTAACCGAGTGAATGAATAACTGACCGTATGCGGGAACGTGGTGAGCGACTGCGTCGGTGAGCGAATGAACGGGCTGAATGGAGAACGGACGATCATATGAAAACACGGCCGAATGAGCTCACGAGCAAGAGAGCGATTGGCTGAACTGTTGAACAATCGATTGAACGTTCGAGTGAGCGATTGATCGGGGGAACCGGCGATGAAGTGCTTCAACTAATGATCAAACGAGTGATCGATTGTGTGATTAAAGCGAGCGATTGTGCAAGCCGGCGACTGGGCAACCACGCAACTACGTGACCGGTCAACCAAACAATCGACTGCCCTGACCGACTGACGAACCCACTGATCAACCGACTAACCCCCGCCGATGGTACTTGACTGACCTATCGACCAAGCGACAGGCCAACCGACCAACAGAGAAAATCGATTGAAGAACCAACTCACCGATTAACCAACCGACCGACTAATCAACCAACTGACCAACCATCCAAACGACCGACCGACCAAGCACCCATCCGCTGAACCCGATCAACCAACCAATCCCATTAACCCACCGGTCATCCATTCAAGCGATGGGAGGCGGTGGCGGCCGTGCGGCCGTGGCGATGCCCGTGGAGCCGCTGACGCTCAAGTCTCGCTGGTACATCTACGCCATCCACGGCTACTTCTGCGAGGTGATGTTCACCGCCGCGTGGGAGTTCGTCGTCAACAAGAACTGGAAGTTCCCCGGCGTGACGAGCGTCTGGGCCCTCTTCATCTACGGCACGTCCATCCTGGTGCTCGAGCGGATGTACCTGAGGCTGCGCGGCCGCTGCAACATCCTGCTGCGCTGCGTCGTCTACACGCTGTGGACCTACGCCTGGGAGTTCTTCACGGGCCTCGCACTGCGCCAGGTCGACGCCTGCCCCTGGGACTACTCGCACTTCCGCTACAACTTCATGGGCCTCGTGACGCTGGAGTACGCGCTGCCCTGGTTCTGCGGCTGCTTCCTCGTCGAGACGATGGTCATCCGCAACACGCTGCGCCTCCGCTTCGACGAGCGCGGCGAGCGCAGGGCCAGGGCCGCCGCCGCCGCCGCCGCCGCCGTCGCCGCGCGGGCCGAGTGACCGGGGGTGGCGGGGGAGGAGGCGGAAGAGGCCGCGGGAAAGCGGGACCGGCGATCGGACGGTCACGACAAACGATCGATCGGCGTGCTTCGAGCGGGCGGGTGGAGCTGGGGGAGGGAGAGGGGCCGACCGATCCACCGATCGATCGGTTGTGCGGTCGGTCGACTCGACGGGCCGGTCCCGGTAGCAGGGCGACATGAAAGCCGGGTGACGACCGCTGGGTTGAACGGTCGACCGACCGACCAAAGCCGGGCGTCCGTGATCCACCAACCCTCGCGGGCTTCGCCGCTTTTGACGTAACGGCCGCCCGTCTTCGTCTCCCGGAGACGGCGAGGAGCCTCCGGGGATGACGGAGAGTCTCCCCGGAGATGGGGGGAGGGTCTCCCCTCAGTTTCCGTCGCTTCTCCGGACCGGCGCAACCCGCGTCGGCATTCCGGCCCGTCCGGCCGGCCGGCCGGCCGGCCGGCGCCACAGTTCGGATTCGTGACCGCGGCACGAAACCGGCCACCGGCACGGCCGGCCGCTTGTCGAGAGACGGGTCATCGCGACGACGCCGATATTTATTCACATCCGAGTTGACGAACGTTGATTGAGTTGAAGGTTACGTTTCCAGTTTACCGGCGTTTAAATTCTTGAAAAGCAACACTATGTCGTTCGATGTCTAACCAGCCGTTTAGTTTTTAGCGTTTTTTTTTGTTCCATTAAAGTAGTTTGGATGACCTTGTTTGTTCTTTTAAAATCTTAGAGGCTCTTCGATAGTTTTTTTGTAAAATTTGTTTAACTTAAAGAAAAAAAAAACCTTTCAATTTCATCGTCCTCCTACTCCTCTTCGTCACAGTTTCCGTTTTTGTGTTTCCCGGCGTTGCTCCGCCACCGGTTTCCCGATGCAAAAATCCCACCGCGCCGTCCACACGACTCTTGCGATCTTCCCCAATTTATTTATTACTTTCTCAACGCGCACATTTTTTCCCTTTGCGGTTCAACGAATCCCGTCGAACGCTTCGTTTAATTCGGAACTCGATTTTTTTCCGTGTTTAACGCAAATTCATTTGAGCTTAAGATTCCCGCCGCGCCTCTCGGTTGGAATTTGCCGACGCTCCCACGTGTTCAGGAATTACTGCTCAACTCTCATCATCATCATCGTCATTGTATTATGTTCTAAAGATACTTCAAACTGAACCCGTCGTACTTTTTTTTTTACTTTAAGAACAAGTAGAAGAAAGATTAGAACATACAAAAAAAAACTAACAAGAGCTTTAACAAAAACACAACTTTATGCGTACATATATATTTACATGTACTACGTACGATATTACAATACGACCAGCACTGCATGCAGAGGCCTTCATCCAGCAGCGGATCGACCAAGGTCCTGTATTTAACTCCGACGCGGACACCTCGCGTGCAACACCGCGAGAGAGCACCGACGATCGTCGTCCCAACGTCGAGCGAGCGAAGATGCCACAAGGAGCAGTAGCAACAGGGGACTCCCAGGGGAGGCCCCCCACCTCCCCCCTGCCCCCCACCTCCCCCCCCCCCACCCCCTACTCCCCCCCCCCACATCCCCCGACAGCAGCAGCTGCTGCTGGGTTTTTTTTTTATTTGCGCGCGGTTTCGGTGGCCGGGGTGAGCGATTTGGGTTGCGACTTGCGTGCGGTTTGCGTTGACCTCTCGTGGGTCAAATCAGAAATCCGCGGCAGTCGGTTCTGTCCGCCGCCGCCGCCGCCCTCGCTGCTGCTGCTGGTGCCGCGGATTTCTACCCGGGATCACCGGCTGACTGTGAATTGTCTTGATGTTCGGACCCCCGTTGGTGTTTAGTGTCTCAGCCGAGTCCGTGGCGTGTCGGGCTCGTATTGTGGGTCCTGTAATAATGTGGATTGAATGGAGATGGCTAAAATCATCGTCATCATCATTGTCATCGTCATCGTTGGCCAGTGTCTATCCACTGCTGCATGGAGGCCTCCCCGTGCCGTTGCCCATCCCTCGCGACCCATCGTCTCACTCTGCGCACGTGAACGGATTTCGTGGTGGTTGTCCGGGTTGGACGCCCTCCCCCCTCCTTCGGCTGCCACTCCGTCACCATTCTCGTCCCATCGGCCCTCACCCCGTCCGCCGATGCGTCCCGCCCAGGCCCATTTGCTTTTCTACTCGCGATCTTTAAAAACAATCCCGATAACAATAAGGGCAACAGTGTCCTTTTCGGTCTCCCAGGGAAGCCTCACCGAGCCTCGAGGCTCGTTTGCAGGAGGGTCCCGTTGCATCGGGACGTTTGGCCACTTTCTATTTGCAGCGAGAGCCTGGCGCCGCGTGGGTGGAAACCGGAGAACCTGGAGAAAATCCGCCAAGCCCCGCACAGATTGAATCAACAATCCAATTACGTAATGCCATCTTCCTGGTCCGCTACATCACAGCCCCAAAGTCTGTAACACCTGGTATTTCCATCCGATTGCAAACGAGGCTCTCAAACCCTGCCCACGCGACGCGATTGTGGGGGTTTAGGGGTTAGGAGTTATTGGGGAATTATGAAACGGCCGCGCCGCGGATAAAATATAAACGGGGTATAAATAGCGAGCGAGGAGCAGGTGGTGCCCGGCTTTCGCAAATTTCTACCCCTGTTGGGAGCTGCCTGAGCTGTCGTGACCCGAGCGTTGCAGACCTTAGCTTACACCGCCAATGACGATTGACGATGATTGACCACGGCGATGACGGTGAAAGTGATAACTTCCCTTATCGTACATTTATATGGCGACTGAACCAAGGCGCTGCGCAGTGAACTGTGGTACAAGATGACGATAATCGTAGTGATGGTGTGGTCATTATGATGATCACAGACATGGCAATGACGACGATGGTGGTAATGAGCTCACGACGTAGATGATGGTGGTGGTGATGTCGACAATGATAGTGACGATGAAGACGCAGCTCGCTGTGCCGTAGAGAGCATGACCTCTCCTCCACCACCTCCTCCTCCTCCACCACTCGCTCGCCCGATCGATTCATTGTCTCACCCTATTTGGCCTGATGGATGATTAGACGCCTAGAGTGTCACCCTTTCTCCGCTCGCCCGTTCAATCGCGGCGCCCGCCCACTCGCTTGCACGCCCGCTCGCTTCCAAGACTCCCTTGAGAAATCATCTCCCTTCGGCTCGTTTGGAGACGAGAGGAGGACATTGAGGATTGTAGCGATCAATCGATTCGGTGGATTCTGATACCGGCGTGTACTCACCCATGCATGACACACAAGGAGGATGCCGTGTGGTCCGTGAGTTCGGTGGCACTGTGATGGCGAGACATTATCTCCCTCGCCTGGTATACAAGAGGTCATGGGGTTGGATCCGGACCCTGACGCCTGCTGTATATTTGGAGTTTGCACGTCTCTCTCTCTCTCCCCGTGGTCGCGTGTATTTTTCTCCGGGTCCTCCGGTTTTTCCCTCCACATTTCTAAACGTGCATTTAGAACATTTGGCTGCTATAAATGTCCACGCGATGATGAGCCACTTCGCTTAGCTATCACTTGTGGCCAGGTGGCTTCTGAAAAAGAGCTGTATAGCTCAGTGGACCTCACCCGGTAAAATAAAAATAAAACTTTTTTAAATTAAAGTTTAGTTTATAGTTGTTGCGTGAAAAGTACCTGTAATTTATGTACGGTATGCGGTGAGGCAAAGACGGCGAGGAGGCGAAATTTATTTCGTCATTGACATTCTCCATGACAAAGCTCAATGGTATTTTTGCGAGTCTCCCCCCCCCCTAGAAAAATCTTAAAGAGTTAAAAAACAAACCAAAAACAAATCTGGCTGTCGCCTGATGAAGCTGGTTGTAATTACTGGCGAAACGTCGTACTCGGATTATAAATGTTGTGGCTTGGCTCTCCAACACACCAGTGCTGCTGTACTAGTAACGAATTGGCCACGTTCTGTTTACGTGACAAACCTTACTAGTTGTCTGTGTCGGGTGGTGGCGGCTTTAACGACACAACATTTATATATTTACGCGATCTAACCCAAAAAAACCTCTTATGGACAAAAACATCAAAATCGATTTGGCGCAGATCTTACAGTCCTTCGTGACGTTAGTCCGCAAGCCATCTCTGCTACTGCCCGTTTAACCCGTAGGGTTTTTCGCAGCCAATATTGACAAGGTTCGTTTTCGATTATTTCGGGCCAGTGTTGTGTCGTACTCCCTCGACGCAGCCAAACAACAAAAAAATAAGTTCCGGTACTTCCATTGTGTGTGGCAAATATTGGACAAACGGACTGAAAGAGACCTCTTGGCATCACTCCCTACTACTCGCTGCACATCTGTGCGGGGACGACGATGACTTCACGCCGCCTACCGAAGGCCCGAGACTGGAAGAGGGCATTCTCACAATTCTGGCACCTCCGATTAGCACAGTTGGCTACGTGCAGTGTGAAAGAAGCTCAACGTACATATACAATCACCGCATGCCGTCCGTTGAAACTTCCAGCGAAGCGTGGGACTCCGCGATTGTTAAAGGCGCGTGCGTAATGTTCTCCGACAATACAGCGGCGTGCCGACGCGATACAAAAATACAACGGTCCGTTTGTCCACGTGAGCACTTTTAAGTGGCTGTGTCGGGTGGAGGATGGTGTGCGACACAACACTGGGGACTGTACTCACACGCGGTCGGTGATCTCGCCCCCAACAATCAATTACGGTTGATACCGTTACTGTTTTACAACTGCGTGTGTGTTTCACGGTTGTTGTTGCTGCTGCTGTGTGTGCGCGCGCGACTCTCCCATGTGAATTCGGGTCGTGCCAATTCTCTCCACGTGCTGGGAGCATCTCGCTAATTAACGCGGAATTTTGTAACGCGCAGTTTTCCCGTTCGCCACCATGGAGAAAGTGAGAGAACGAGAGGAAAGAATGACAGAGAATAATTGAGAGGCACGGGGAAACCACAGACAGGCAAGGAAGGTTTTAACCGGTTGCCCACATTTGGCCAAGCCCTGTGGGTCCTACGTGGGGATGTTTGGTCAACTTCATTGATGAAGTGGTCTATTCATTCACTTGGGAGGAGAGAAGGGAAAGCCCCCACGCGTGTGAGAGGCGGTCGCCGCTTGAATTCCCCCCCCCCCCAGTACAGATGGAACTGAACGGACTTGAACAGCCACACCTAAGAGGTCCAGAAGCAAATTTTATGATTGGGGTTTTTTTTCTTGTTGTGTGCAGTCATTGTTGACTGATAATTGGTGAAACTATCGACTCGCGACGCCCGAGAACGCCGCCTTCAATCGCTGCAAATTGGGGCGGCTGAAATGTGGATTCCAAGCCAGGATATCTCGTCGTCTCGGACCTCGGTTCTAGCACGTGGAGCGTCCACGTCGGACAAAGTGTCCAACAAACCCCGGACAGACATCGGAGAGAGCTGCGGTTACTGCCGTCATTAATATCGGTTACAAACTAAAACGAGCAATGTCTCCTTGATGCATAATCCGTCTCTCCACGTAACAAAAAAAATAACAACAATACATTTAAAGTCTCACATACCATCAGCTGCTGCCACGGCCTATTAGGAGTGAATTTCAGCAGCAATGGTTCAAGACGAGCAAAACGCTTGCATACTCTTTGGTTCTATTCGGTAAAGTGACTTTACCGAATAGAACCAAAGAGTATGGATCCTTGCAGTCACGAAAGCTTCAAATCTAGAAAACGCTTGCAACCGGTTTCGACATCCAGTGTCTCATCAGCAGTCAGGCTTTGCTAGAATCAATGCTGGTGAACTGCCCAGATGTTTATCGGCAAGGGCTGGTTTCGACATCCAGTGTCTCATCAGCAGTCAGGCTTTGCTTGAATCAATGCTGGGTAACTGCCCAGATGTTTATCGGCAAGGGCTGGTTTCGACATCCAGTGTCTCATCAGCAGTCAGGCTTTGCTTGAATCAATGCTGGTGAACTGCCCAAATGTTTATCGGCAAGGGCTGCTTTCGACATCCGGTGTCTCATCAGCAGTCAGGCTTTGCTTGAATCAATGCTGGTGAACTGCCCAGATGTTTATCGGCAAGGGCTGGTTTTGACATCCAGTGTCTCATCAGCAGTCAGGCTTTGCTTTAATCAATGCTGAACTGCCGCATGTTACAGTACCAGGCGTTCTGGTTCAACGCGAAATTATGCAGTCGTAGAAAGCGCAAAGTTGCGTCAAGAAATATTTGGTTAATGTGGAGAGACGGATATGTGGCGTGTAGATATTCTTACTTAAACGCTCATCGACAAGAGCGGGCCTCATGATTATGTGTTGAGTTTAACATCACGTAGCTTTGTTATTATCGGCAAAAGTATTTTGTTTTATTTCATTTTCCTGCTCGAGGCAGTGGCGTAGCTACGCAGTACGCAGGCGGTGCAACTGCACCTGCCGGGTCAGAGTGTCCCCCTCCCCATGGCCGCCTTTGTTTCCCCCAGTGCTGCGGCATTTTAATGTCGAGTTCACCTAGAGGGGGGCCACGGGGAGGATTTTTAGATCTCGCTCGCCACTGATGTTAGCCGTGGCCACATCGCA